CCAAACTGTCAAAACATCGAATGGCTGGTATCATAACTGATAACATGTGCATCACCATGGCAGTTGTAGATCAAACAGAGGCCAAAATGGCAGCTTCCTTGGCTGAAAATGATAGGAAGGTTTACTTCCACTTTAAGGCATGCCACGAATAACTGTCACATTTGCTTGTGCTCTCAACTGAACTGTCCAAACATCAAATGGCTGGTGTCATAACTGATCACATGTCCAGCAACATGGCAGTTGTAGATCAAACAGAAGCCAAAATGTCAGTTTCCTTGGCTGAAAACGATAGGAGGGCTTAGTTCCTCTTTAAAGCGTGCCATGAATAACTGTCACATTTGCTTGTGCTCTCAACTGAACTGTCAAAACATCGAATGGCTGGTGTCATAGCTGATCACATGTTCAATTGAACTGTCAAAACATCAAATGGCTGGTGTCCTAACTGATCACATGTCCAGCAACATGGCAGTTGTAGATCAAACAGAAGCCAAAATGGCAGTTTCCTTGGTTGAAAACGATTGGAGGGTTTAGTTCCTCTTTATGTCATGAATAACTTTTACATTTACTTGTGTTCTCAACCAAACTGTCAAAACATTGAATGGCTGGTGTCATAACTGATCACATGTGCAGCACCATGGCAGTTGTAGATCAAACAGAGGCCAAAATGGCAGCTTCCTTGGCTGAAAACGATAGGAGGGTTTAGTTCCTCTTTAAAGCGTGCCATGAATAACTGTCACATTTGCTTGTGCTCTCAACCAAACTGTCAAGCCATCAAATGTTTGGTGTCATAACTGATCACATGTGCAGCACCATGGCAACTGCAGATCAAACAGAAGCCAAAATGGCAGCTTCCTTGGCAGAAAACCATAGGAGGGTTTAGTTCCGCTTTAAAACATGCCATGAATAACTGTCACATTTGCTTGTGCTCTCAACCGAACTGTCAAAACATCGAATGGCTGGTGTCCTAACTGATCACATGTGCAGCAACATGGCAGTTGTAGATCAAACAGAAGCCAAAATGGCAGCTTCCTTGGCTGAAAACGATAGGAGGGTTTAGTTCCTCTTTAAAACATGCCATGAATAACTGTCATATTTGCTTGTGCTCTCAACTGAACTGTCAAAAACATTGAATGGCTGGTGTCCTAACTGATCACATGTGCAGCAACATGGCAGTTGTAGATCAAACAGAATCCAAAATGGAAGCTTCCTGGCTGAAAACAATGGAAGGGTTTAGTGCCTCTTTAAGGCATGCCTTGAATAACTGTCACATTTGCTTGTGCTCTCAACTGAACTGTCAAAACATCAAATGGCTGGTGTCATAACTGATCACATGTTCAATTGAACTGTCAAAACATTGAATGGCTGGTGTCATAACTGATGACATGTGCAGCACCATGGCAGTTGTAGATCAAACAGAAGCCAATATGGCAGCTTCCTTGGCTGAAAACGATAGGAGGGTTTAGTTCCTCTTTAAAGCGTGCCATGAATAACTGTCACATTTGCTTGTGCTCTCAACCAAACTGTCAAGCCATCAAATGTTTGGTGTCATAACTGATCACATGTGCAGCACCATGGTAACTGCAGATCAAACAGAAGCCAAAATGGCAGCTTCCTTGGCAGAAAACCATAGGAGGGTTTAGTTCCGCTTTAAAACATGCCATGAATAACTGTCACATTTGCTTGTGCTCTCAACCGAACTGTCAAAACATCGAATGGCTGGTGTCATAACTGATCACATGTGCAGCAACATGGCAGTTGTAGATCAAACAGAATCCAAAATGGCAGCTTCCTTGGCTGAAAACAATAGAAGGGTTTAGTGCCTCTTTAAGGCATGCCTTGAATAACTGTCACATTTGCTTGTGCTCTCAACCAAACTGTCAAAACATCGAATGGCTGGTGTCATAACTGATCACATGTGCAGCACCATGGCAACTGCAGATCAAACAGAGGCTAAGATGGCAGCTTCCATTGATGTAAGGGGTAAGGACAGTTTAGTTCTACTTTAAAAAGTAACTTCACCTTATCCAGGATTAACTAAACCCCCTCTATCTAATACTTGTCCCTGAATAGTGATTCAGAAAACCCTCTTACCAGGCCTTGGGGTGCAGCATTGTCTTGTACCGTTCTGCTCCCATGCCGTCATCTTAAAATATCATGCGTGTGCACAGTCATGCTGCAGGTCTCTGCCAGGTCCTGAATACATGGACATACGTCCAAATCAAGTCCAAGGGACATCCCTTCAAACAAGAGTTCAATATATTGCAATCTATAGATGTGGTGGCTACTTTTTGTTTTTTAATTATTTTTTATATGGGGATCGATCCTGTAACACACTTCCTGTCTTAGAGTGACAACGCTCATTGCACTTTATCTGTGGATAAACAGTGTTGTCACCATAAGACAGGACTATAGATGACCCCTCCTGCAACATTTGTTTTTGAATACACATGCGATATGGCACGCTACATTGCTAGAAATAAGCTGGGTACCTTCTTTGGTTCGTGACATGTTGAGGGCCCATGCATTGCTGGAACGCTGTAAAAAACCCTCGGACCCCTTTCACATCCATGCTATTCGACAACACGTACCTAGATGTGCGTCTGTATGCATCTCTTACATGGGTGGCATTAAGCATCCCATTTATTTGAAAGGGCTGCCCAACGCACAGAAGAAGTGTATGGAGCTATTTGTTTAGGCCTTAAATGTACTCCGAGTACACCCATGTAAGGACCGTGTTTGCCCACACAGGGGACGCACAGGTGTTCCAAACATCTCCATGCAATGCAGAGGTGTTCCGTACAGTAGAGTATTTAGATTTTGTGCTGCCCTAGGCAACACAAAAATTTTGCGCCCCCCCTCCACAGTGAGAGAGCGAGAGAGTTCAATAAGTGTGTGTATGTATATATGATATTCTCTCCCTTTCTGTTTCTCAATCCTTCTCTCTTTCTCCCCCCTCTCTCTCTCTCACTCCCTCTTTCTCCCCCCTTGCTCACCCCCTTCCCTCTCTCTTTCTCCCCCCTCTCTCTTTCTCCCTCTCTCCCCCCCCTCTCTTTCTCCCCTCCTTCTCTTTCCCCCCCTCCCTCTCTTTCTCTCCCTCCCTCTCTCTTTCTCCCCCTCCCTCTTTCTCCCCCCCCCCTCTCTCTCTTTCTCCCCCTCCCTCTTTCTCCCCCCTCCCTCTTTCCCTCTTTCTCCCCCCTCCCTCTCTTTTTCTCCCCTCTCTCTCTCTCCCTCCCTCTTTTCTCCCTCCTCCCTCTCTTTCTCCCCCTCCCCCCCCCCTCTCTCCCCCCTCTCTCCCCCCCCCTCTCTCCCCCCTCTCCCCTCCCTCTCTTTCTCCCCCTCCCTCTCTCCCCCCCCCTCTCTCTCTTCCCCCTCCCTCTCTCTTTCTCCCCCCCCTCTCTCTTCCCCCTCTCTTTTCTCCCCCCCTCTCTCTCTTCCCCCCTCTCTTTCTCCCCCCTCCCTCTCTCCCCCCCCTCTCTCCTCCCCCTTCTCTCTTTCTCTCCCTCCCTCTTTCTCTCTTCCTCTTTTTCTTTCTCTCTTTCCTCCCTCTCTCCCCCCCTCGCTTCCTCTTCCCTCTTCCGCTCTCTTTTTCTTTCTCTCTCTCTTCCCCACCCCCCTCTTTATCCCCCCCCTCCCTCTCTCTCTCTTCCCTCCCTCTCTCTCCCCCCCCTCTCTTTCCTCCTCTCTCTCTCTCTCTCTCTCTTCCCTCCCTCTCGCTCACCCCCCTCTCTTTCCTCCCTCTCTCTCTTTCATCCCCCCTCTCTCCCCCTCTCCCCCCTCTCTCCCCCCCTCTCTCTCTTTCCTCCCTCTCTCTCTCTTCCCTCTCTCTCTCTCTTTCTCTTCCCTCCCTCTCTCTCTCACCCCCCCTCTCTTTCCTCCCTCTCTCTCTCTTCCCTCCCTCTCTCTCTCTCTCTCTTCCCTTTCTCCCTCCCCCTCAGATCTTATGGGACCACCCCCCCCTCTCCAAGGGCTGCTGATCTCTGTGCAGCAAAAAGGGGGGGGGGGTGTGCAGTCCCATACGATCTGTCAGTGATCAGTGTCAGTGTGTAATCTGCTGGAGGGAGAGTCCACAGAAGACAAGACAGCTCACCTCTTCCGGGCTCTTTCATCGCTTCTGCTCCAGGCATTCCCCTGGTCCTGGCTTATCAGCTGCTGGAGGGAGAGGTGCACGATTGTCGCTCTGCAACTGCCCTCCCCCACATCGATCTTCCTGCTGTCGCCGCTCAAATGGTCCCTTCTTCGGGGGTCGGTGCCTCCCCCTTAAAAATTGCCGCCCTAGGCAAACACCTTGTTTGCCTCGCAGTGGATACGCCCCTGGTTCCATACATCCCTGTGCAGGCAGTCCGATGCACGTCAATTGGGAAGCAGCAGCTGCATGGACTCAGCTGCTTCTCCCAATTGACAGCCTTGTACGTGCATGACCCCCGAAAGCACACTGTCTGCTTTTGGGGCTGTGCGTCCACGCGGTTGTCAGATTGGGAGAAGCAGCTGTGCCTGTGCAGTTGCTGCGTCAAAATTGATGTGCGTTGGCCTGCCTGCACAGGGATGTATGGAACTAGGGATGCACTGAAATTTCGGTGGATGAAACGTTTCAGCCAAAAACACCCCTTTCGGCCATTGGCCAAAATTAAATAAAGCACTGATACAGGTGCCGAAAAAACCCCGCCCCTCGCCTTTATAAATAATATTTCATCATAAATATAATCTTGGCCAAAATTTATTCCATTATCTTTTTAGTTAAAAAAAAAACAAATTAGTTTATAACCAAAATTATAATTTTTAAACTTTTTTTTTACATTTTTTTTACATTATTATTTTTAGTTTTTTTTTCTATACTGTCACACTAGCAGTACAGTGTCACCATGGTGACACTGTGCTACTTGTGGAGGGTGATGAAGATTTTTTTTTTTTCACACTGATTGCTTTTACACCCATAAAGGCTGTATAAGCAATCATTTCTCCTTCTCTCTGGCTGCATTCTTGCAGCCATTGAGAAATACTGTGAGAGCTGTGATCGGTCACAGCTTATCACATGGTACAAGGCTGTTGTGAATAGCCTTGTACCCTGTGACCTGTGTGATCATTCACAAATTTCACACGTAGTAAGCAATGATGTCAGAAGTGACATATTGCTTACTACTCTTCATGTGATCACTGAATGGCCAATCAGTGATCACATGATCAAGACCTCACACAGAGGTCCCGTACAACGATCTGTGTCCTCTTGCTTACTACTCTGCATATGATCACTGATTGGCCAATCAGTGATCACATGATCGGGACCTCGCACAGAGGTCCCGCCCGACAATCGGTGTTCCACTGTTGTGCATAGTCTTGTACCATGTGACCTCTGTGATCATTCACAGATTTCACACGTAGTAAGCAATGATGTCAGAAGTGACATATTGCTTACTACTCTTCATGTGATCACTGAATGGCCAATCGGTGATCACATGATCGGGACCTTACACAGAGGTCCCGTACAACGATCTGTGTCCTCTTGCTTACTACTCTGCATGTGATCACTGATTGGCCAATCGGTGATCACATGATCGGGACCTCGCACAGAGGTCCCTTCCGACAATCGGTGTTCCACTGTTCCCGGAGGACACAGCAGGCGCAGATCGCAGTGCTGCGCACTCCCAGGGAGCGCGCACAAGCAGGGGGCAGGGAGGCCGTTGAAAAAAGGCCAGACGGGAGGTGGTTAATGTGGGCCACGATTTCGACTAACCAACGAACGCGGTCGGATGACCGATTGGTCGATTTTCTAATCGTGTATTCCCACCTTTAGGGCTTCCAACATGACCAGAGGAGTAATGAATGCCAGGGTCAAAGGGCTTGTTCCCCTGCGCATGATTAAGGAAATCCTTACACCCCGTCCTGCTGGGAACACAAACCAATCACGCAGAAAGTCGGTACCTTTCCGCTTCAGATCTCACCGAGTGCCGCCGGCCGCGATTAATTCCTAGAAAGACCAGACGTACTTGGAAAAAAGAAAGCATTTTTGCGTTTTAGAAAGGCGTTCTGCTCCTGACCTTAACCCGCTTAAACTTTCCCTTTAACCCTTCTTAAGCAGCCGAACGTTCGGTCTCCCGGATTCCGCCGCGTTGCGCTCCACCGCCGGCTCCCAGCAGAACGCGGGATTAAAGGAATGTGTTCCTCGTTGCCGCACATTTCCATTTTGATTCCTTGAGGAATGTCTTGTGGTTGAGAAAGATAAAGGATTATTAATTTAAAACCCCGTCTTGTGAGACTGACAGCACCGGCCGCATTAATGTGTTTCTCTTTCCAGTCTTTGCTCGGGCGACTTTTCAATTAACTCGTCCGGTGCCGCCGCTGCTTTGGTTGGCGTGATGAGTAGCGGGTAAATCTCGCATTGTGGTGTCATTTCGGCGTTGGGACGCAATTCAGAGTTTAGGTCGTTGCAGGCAAGAGTGAATAATAACACCGGGGGGGGGGGGGGGCATTATTTAAAGAATTGGAGTCATCTTAAAGAGGACCTGTCACCTGTTTAGGCGCAGATCTCCAAACTTCCCTTCAGTCTTGCACAGCTGCCCCGGCTCCTGTCTTAGACGTTACTCTGATTTAACTGCAGACTGTGAGCTTCTCACAGTGTGCATTGGGAACTGCAGTAAGTCAGATAGAACCCGCCTTGGGTCCGGCATCATCTAGTCCAGGGGCCACCAAACTTTTCTAAACAAAGGGTCAATTAACTGTCCTTCAGACTTTAAGGGCTGGACTGTGGCCACTGGGAGTAGAAGAGGTCCCAACGTCAGTAAGATGGAACAATGCCTCATCTTTGGTGTCAGTAGGAAAGAACAATGCCCTATCTTTGGTGTCAGTGGGAAAGAACAATGCCCCATCTTTGGTGTCAGGGGAAAAGAACAATGCCCCATCTTTGGTGTCAGGGGAAAAGAACAATGCCCCATCTTTGGTGTCAGTGGGAAGGAACAATGCCCCATCTTTGGTGTCAGTGGGAAAGAACAATGCCCCATCTTTGGTGTCAGTGGGAAAGAACAATGCCCCATCTTTGGTGTCAGTGGGAAAGAACAATACCCCATCTTTGGTGCCAGTGGGAAAGAACAATGCCCCATCTTTGGTGTCAGTGGATAGAACAATGTCCCATCTTTGTTGTCAGTGGGAAAGAACAATGTCCCATCTTTGGTGTCAGTGGGAAAGAACAATGCCTCATCTTTGGTGTCAGTGGGAAAGAACAATGCCTCATCTTTGGTGTCAGTGGGAAAGAACATTGTCCCATTTTTGGTGTCAGCGGAAAAGAACAATGCCCCATCTTTGGTGTCAGTGGGAAGGAACAATGCCCCAGCTTTGGTGTCAGTGGGAAGGAACAATGCCCCATCTTTGGTGTCAGTGGGAAAGAACAATGCTTATCTTTGGTGTCAGTGGGAAAGAACAATGCCCCATCTTTGGTGTCAGTGGGAAAGAACAATGCCCCCATCTTTGGTGTCAGTGGGAAGGAACAATGCCCCATCTTTGGTGTCAGTGGGATAGAACAATGTCCCATCTTTGTTGTCAGTGGGAAAGAATAATGTCCCCATTTGGTGTCAGTGGGAAAGAACAATGATCTTTGGTGTCAAGTGGAAAAGAACAATGCCCCATCTTTGGTGTCAGTGGGAAGGAACAATGCCCCAGCTTTGGTGTCAGTGGAAAGAACAATGCCCCATCTTTGGTGTCAGTGGGAAAGAACACTGCTTATCTTTGGTGTCAGTGGGAAAGAACAATGCCCCATCTTTGGTGTCAGTGGAAAAGAACAATGCCCCATCTTTGGTGTCAGTGGGAAGGAACAATGCCCCATCTTTGGTGTCAGTGGGAAAGAACAATGCCCCATCTTTGGTGTCAGTGGGAAAGAACAATGCCCATCTTTTGGTGTCAGTGGGAAAGAACAATGCCCCATCTTTGGTGTCAGTGGGAAAGAACAATGCCCCATCTTTGGTGTCAGGGGAAAAGAACAATGCCCCATCTTTGGTGTCAGGGGAAAAGAACAATGCCCCATCTTTGGTGTCAGTGGGAAGGAACAATGCCCCATCTTTGGTGTCAGTGGAAAGAACAATGCCCCATCTTTGGTGTCAGTGGGAAAGAACAATGCCCCATCTTTGGTGTCAGTGGGAAAGAACAATGCCCCATCTTTGGTGCCAGTGGGAAAGAACAATGCCCCATCTTTGGTGTCAGTGGGGATAGAACAATGTCCCATCTTTGTTGTCAGTGGGAAAAGAACAATGTCCCATCTTTGGTGTCAGCGGAAAAGAACAATGCCCCATCTTTGGTGTCAGCGGGAAGGAACAATGCCCCAGCTTTGGTGTCAGTGGGAAGGAACAATGCCCCATCTTTGGTGTCAGTGGGAAAGAACAATGCTTATCTTTGGTGTCAGTGGGAAAGAACAATGCCCCATCTTTGGTGTCAGTGGAAAAGAACAATGCCCCATCTTTGGTGTCAGTGGGAAGGAACAATGTCCCATCTTTGGTGTCAGTGGGATAGAACAATGTCCCATCTTTGTTGTCAGTGGGAAAGAATAATGTCCCATCTTTGGTGTCAGTGGGAAAGAACATTGTCCCATCTTTGGTGTCAGTGGTCAGTGGGAAAGAACAATGCCCCATCTTTGGTGTCAGTGGAAAAGAACAATGCCCCATCTTTGGTGTCAGTGGGAAGGAACAATGCCCCAGCCCCTTTGGTGTCAGTGGGAAAGAACAATGCCCCATCTTTGGTGTCAGTGGGAAAGAACACTTGCTTATCTTTGGTGTCAGTGGGAAAGAACAATGCCCCATCTTTGGTGTCAGTGGGAAAAGAACAATGCCCCATCTTTGGTGTCAGTGGGAAGGAACAATGCCCCATCTTTGGTGTCAGTGGGATAGAACAATGCCCCATCTTTGGTGTCAGTGGGAAAGAACAATGCCTCATCTTTGGTGTCAGTGGGAAAGAACAATGCCTCATCTTTGGTGTCAGTGGGAAAGAACAATGCCCCATCTTTGGTGTCAGTGGGAAAGAACAATGTCCCATCTTTGGTGTCAGTAGGAGGATTTGTTCCCCATCATTGGTGCCAGTAGGAGGAATTGTACCCCATCATTGGTGTCATTACGCCCCATTGTTGGACTCATTGGGAGAAATTGTGCCCCATCGATGGTGTAATTGGGAGGAATTGTTCCCCATTGTTGGGAGTTATTGAAGGGATTGCACCCCAGTGTTGGGAGTCATTGGGAAGAATTGTGCCCCTTCGTTGGTGTCAGTGGGGTAAACACTATACCTCATTGTTGGCATCAGTGAATGAAATAGTGCCCTAAGGGCCAGATAAAATCTAGCAAAGGGCCACATCTGGCCCCCAGGCAGCAGTTTGGAGACCACTGTTCTAGTCCTTTCTTCGCCACCCTGACTGTGGCCCGTCCCTTTCAATTATTGGATTTAAAGTGATTGTAAACCATGTGTACTCAGTGAAGTGACTGTCCTCAGGTGATACACAGAGATGAAAAACAATCCTCCTACATAAGTTGTACCTGTTGATCTGCAGCCCTCTCTTCTCTACAGCCTTTTAGAACACATAAATCAAAGGCTTTTTCTCAGCTCCAGCAAGCAGGGGGCGGGGATCTGACATCACACACTGCACAGCATTCTGTGCATTAAGACACAAAAGCCCCCCAAGCCCCCCCCCCCCTTATACTTACCTGAGCCTGATCTCAATCCAGCGTTGTGCACGCTGTGCATTGGCTCCTCCTGCAGACAGGCACTAGTTCTGGTGACAACCCAGGGATTCCCCCCACTTTGGAGAGATTTCCTCTCACTTCCTGTAAAGGCTATGGGACAGGAAGTGAAGGGAAATCTCCCCCATGTGACACAGATAACTAATATAACAGGTAACTAATAAGATAACTTCCAATGGGGACACTAGTTCTGGTGACAACCAAGGATTCCCCCCACTTTGGAGAGATTTCCTCTCACTTCCTGTAAAGGCTATGGGACAGGAAGTGAAGGAAATCTCCCCAATGTGACACAGATAACTAATATAACAGATAACTAATAAGATAACTTCCACAGGGGACACTAGTTCCGGTGACAACCAGGGATTCCCCCCACTTTGGAGGGATTTCCTCTCACTTCCTGTAAAGACTATGGGGCAGGAAGTGAAGGGAAATCTCCCCAATGTGACACTGATAACTAATATAACAGATAACTAAGAAGATAACTTCCAATGGGGACACTAGTTCCGGTGGCAACCAAGGATTCCCCCCACTTTGGAGAGATTTCCTCTCACTTCCTGTAAAGGCTAAGGGGCAGGAAGTGAAGGGAAATCTCCCCAATGTGACACTGATAACTAATATAACAGATAACTAAGAAGATAACTTCCAATGGTGAATCTCAGTTTTACTTTTAGTACTGAAATTGTTTTTATGTTTCTGTATTTTTTCCTTTTGTTTTTTTTTTACAAAAATACGAAATAAAAAAATGATATAACTTTTTAATATGTTTGGTATTCATGTTCATGCACCCTGAAAGTCCCACCTTCTCTATTGAATATTAATAAGATAACTTCCAATGGGGACACTAGTTCCGGTGACAACTAGGTATCCCCCCCCCCCCCCCCGCTTTGGAGGGATTTCCTCTTACTTCCTGTAAAGTCTATGGGACAGGAAGTAAAGAGAAATCTCCCCAATGTGACACAGATAACTAATATAACCAATATAACAGATA